AAGTACATTTTAAGAAATAATTTTAATAGGTATATATAGGGGTGGACCCGGGCCGGGCCGGTTCTGAGCCAGGCCTGGGCTCGGGCGGGCTTTTTTTGGGAAAGGTTGAATCGGGTCTGAGCCGGGCCCGAGCTGGGTCGGACCCGATTCTATGTTTTTTTGCTTTCTAGTTAACCCCCGACCCCCACCTTCACCCCCACCCCACAAACCCCCCCAAAACACCCAGCCCTAACCAAGAAAAACAAAAAAAAAATGAAAAAAAAGCCCGAGCCGGTTCAAGAAAAACGTGGCCCGAGCCTGGCCCGCCCAACCCGTCCCAACCGGGTAAAAGCTCGGGCCCGGTTAGCACCAACCGGGCCGAGCCACACAGTAGCGGGTCGGGCCAGTTCCGAGTCGGGCCGGGCCGAGCCCGCACAGTAGCGGGCCGGGTCGGTTCTGAGCCGGGCCGGGCCGGGCCGGTTCTGAGTCGGGCCGAGCCGAGTCCGCACAGTAGCGGGCCAGGCCGGTTCCGAGTCGGGCCAAACCGGTTGGGTCCACCCCTAGGTAAATGTTAAGGAGTATAAAGTACTCCCTCCGCCCCCTAGTATTAGTACGGAAGGGAGTGGTGTAGCTTTTAAGAAAAGTAGAATTATGTGATTGGTAATGAGTTGATAAAGTGAAAATAAAGTAAGGATCAATTAGAATCACACAAATGTTACCAAATATGGTATGAGACAATAATAAAGAGACATCCAAAAATGAAAATTGGGACAATTATAGGGGGACGGAGGGAGTAGTTAGTATTGATATATGTGATGTTATAAATGTATTATTTTTAATTAGGGGTGGATTCGGTTCGGGCCACCCGGCCCGTGACCCGGCCCGACCCGGTACTGTGCGGGCCCAGGACCGGCCCGGTTGGGCGGTCCGGGACCGGGTGTGGACCCGAACCGGTGGGAATGGGCGGGACGGGCACGGTGCCGGATAAATGTGACCCGGCCCGGCCGGGTCGGGCCCGGGCCCAGGTCCGGTCGGTCTGATTTTTTTTAAAAAAAAATTGAATTGGACTACTAGCCGTTGGGGGTGGGTTGGGGACAACCCAAACGGCTATATAGCCGTTGGGTGGGGTGCAGGGGGGGTCCGGGGGGTTGGGTGGTGGGGGTGGTGGGGGTGGGGGTAAAAAAACCTATAAATACTCCTAATCTTAAACATTTTTTCATATCTCTTCTCCAATTCTTCCTAAATCCTATTCTTAACTCTCTACTCTCTAATTCTCTTATTCTCCATTCTCCAATATATTATATTTATTATTTATAGTTTATATTAATTATCTACTTATACAAACTATAAATAGATATAAATAGTATTATATATTACTTATATATTTATTATATCTATTAATATAGTTGGAATTATATCTAATTAATTTGAAGTCATTCTATTACTCCCATTCGAAAGACCGAAAGTCCGAAAGAGGTACGAAATTATTCTATTATTTACACTTGTTTAATTACTAGTTAATTTGCTACATTTGACTCTAGTTTAATAGTTAGATAAATAGTTAATTACTTTTTTACAATTTTTTATTAATTGCTACATTTGACTCTAGTTTAAAAAAATATGTTGTACACAAAAGTAGTTAATTCACTACTTAATTTGCTATAACTCGAATTAATAGTTAGATAAATAGTTAATTACTTTTTTACAATTTTTTATTAATTGCTACATTTGACTCTAGTTTAAAAAATATGTTGTACACAAAACTAGGTAATTCACTAGTTAATTTGCTATAACTCGATTTAATAGTTACATAAATAGTTAATTAGTTTTTTACAAATTTTTATTAATTGCTACATTTGACTCTAGTTTAAAAATTATGTTGTACACAAAACTAGTTAATTCACTAGTTAATTTGCTATAACTCGAATTAATAGTTAGATAAATAGTTAATTACTTTTTTACAATTTTTTATTAATTGCTACATTTGACTCTAGTTTAAAAAATATGTTGTACACAAAACTAGTTAATTGACTAGTTAATTTTCTATAATTCGAATTAATAGTTAGATAAATAGTTAATTACTTTTTTACATTTTTTTATTAATTGCTACATTTGACTCTAGTTTAAAAAATATGTTGTACACAAAACTAGTTAATTCACTAGTTAATTTGCTATAACTCGAATTAATAGTTAGATAAATAGTTAATTACTTTTTTACAATTTTTTATTAATTGCTACATTTGACTCTAGTTTAAAAAAATATGTTGTACACAAAAGTAGTTAATTTACTACTTAATTTGCTATAACTCGAATTAATAGTTACATAAATAGTTAATTAGTTTTTTACAATTTTTTATTAATCGCTACATTTTTTAGATGGATCGTCCTAGATATTCGGTTGATATGGGTAACCTCGAGCGCAACCGAACGAAAGAGCTTGCGAGGAAGAGATCCCGCAAAGGTAAATCACATATCGGCTCTTCATCTCAAAGTCGAGATGATTTTGATACCGGTTACGCAAGGAGGGATGGGAATGCGATGACCGACGAACAACTAGAACAAGAATTGCACCGACATAATTCCCGCTTTTTTCAAGATCAACCGAGGACCATTGACGAAAAAGAGCTCGAGGACGAGGACGACGATGTGGAGGAAGTAATTCCGGAGAGCCACGATGACGAGGAGGAGGAGGGTGGCGGCAGCCATGACGCCGACCAAGCAGCCTCATCCCAAACAGGTACAAAAAAAGTAAATATGAACTAATGGCTAATAATTTTTCTAAGTGGAAGGACCCGAACACCGGGAATTGGACCGCAACTTGCAATTGGTGCAAGAAAAACTATAGCTTGGGGATTTCCGGCGGATACGGATCCACCACAAGACACCTTAAGTCCAAACACCCGGTGGAGTATGCAAAATTAGGCGGCGGAACGGGGAAGCAAACGCAAATATCGAGGTTTGCAAATAACCAACAAGCTTTTGGTAATTTCTCATACAATGATGCACAAAATTTGACAGGTATGGCTAACTTACTTGTTGAAGAAAATTTGCCTTATTTGTTTTCAGAAAGTCTTGCTTTTCGTGATTATGCACAAACTTGTTTAAATCCGCAATATAGAGGTTATAGTCGCAAAACGGTTAAGAAAGAAATTTCAAGGCTTTATGGTGCGGAAAAGGTAAGATTACAAAATTATTTTGCAAACTTTGATGGACGTGTTACTGTATGTTCTGACATATGGGAGGATACTTATCATAATTTACATTATTTGGGTCTGACTGTACATTATATTGATAATGATTGGCATACGCATAAACGTGTTCTTGCTTTCCGTGAATTTAATGATCGTCACACCGCTGAACATATTTATATTTTAATTGAACGTATTTTAATTGAGTACAATTTAATTGATAAGGTGTTTGCTATTGGTTTTGATAATGCTACTAATAATACTGCTGCTATTCCTAGATTGCGTGAATTGTGTGGTTCTACTTCTTTGATTGGTAGATTTTTTCATCAACGATGTGCATGTCATGTTCTAAATTTATGTGTGCAAGATGGTCTAAAAGTGTTGGGAGTATCGTTGGAGGTAGTCAAAGGGGGGATTAGACGTATTTGGGGTAATGGACAACTTAGGAAAAAACGGCATGATTATTTGATAGAAAGAGGTGAGAGATATGTGGCTTTTCCTAAAGATTTGTCTATTCGTTGGAATAGTACCTATAAGTTAATTGGAGTTCTTCTTAGATATAAACAACATTTTCCTGCTTTTATGAAACAATATGATAACTATATTATAAACTCGGCTGAGATCGACACCTGTGAAAAAATTTGTAATGCTTTGATATATTTTAATAATGCAACTGAAACTTTTAGTCATGTTTATAAACCTATCTCAAACCAATTTATTCGTGAAGCTGTTAATCTCGTCGGTGTATTTTCAAATTTTGAGAATGCTGATTATGTGAGTTATTTTGCTAGTTTTATGAAGAAAAAGTTTTTAAAATATTATTCACATATTCCGCATATTTATGGTATTGCATTTGTTCTCGATCCTCGTTTTAGACTTGGTTCTTTAGAATAATGTTTGAATTATTATTATGCTGCTTTTTTTGGTCCATTGCCAATGTATGAGGACAAGCCAATTGATCTGAAAAAAGAATACAACGAGGTTAGTGATATATTTTATGCATTATTCAATGAGTTTCATGCACAATATGGCAATGCGCCCCCTCCCCCGATACAAACATCATCTAAAGGAAAATCAATTTTCAAATCTACGTTTGCCAATCTTATTAAAAAAACGAAATCAACTCCCGCTACACAACAAAGCACAATTAATGAGATTTCTTTGTATTTAACTTATGATGTTGATTTTGAAGAAGATGATGATTTTGACGTACTAAACTGGTGGAAGGGAAAAGAAAGAATGTTCCCGGTTTTAGCAAAGATGGCTAAGCAAGTGCTATCAATGCCGGTTTCAACGGTTACCGTGGAACAAGAATTTAGTTCGGCCGACAACGTCCTAACACAAACCAGAACGAGATTGAGCGCTGAATCTCTTGAGATGCTTATATGCTACCACGATTGGTTGAAAGCATCCCGTAGAGCTCAAGAAATTGACATCACCCCATCGGCTCATCCCAACACTTTATGGATGAATCTACAACCGAGGGTGGCTCTACCTATGCCGAAGATTCCGATTAAAAACAATTATAGTTCCTATTTAATTTTCAAATGTAGTTCCTATTTCATTTCAAATAAATGCACTTGAAATTTGTTTTTTAATACTTGTATAAAACTATAAAGTATAAAATATAAATTAAAAAAAAATTAATCGGCCCGGCCCGGCGGGTGGCCCGACCCGTGACCCGGGCAGGTGGCCCGGCCCGAACCGGACCCGTCCAACCCTCGGGCCGGTCCCGGGCCCATGTGATACGAACCGGCAGCCCGACCAGGCCTAGGCCCGGCCCAGGCCCGACCCGGCCCGAATCCATCCCTATTTTTAATATTTAATGATTAATTTGTCAATTAAGATTGGTAATTATTTCCTAAAATGGAAATCAAAACCTTCTAACGAGACGTCCAAAAAAGGAGAGTGAGAAGCTTCTAATGGGACGGAGAGAGTACAAAACATACAAAATATGACCAATAATAATTTGATATTCAAATAAGCTTAAAGCTTGTATTCCTAGTTGTAATATATTCATTTTGAGGGAGGGGTCAAGAGATAAAAGTTGCCTGCAAGTGCAATATATATATATAATAAATGCATTTGACGCCTTGCGCGCAAATCTCCCTGCCTTTACCCTTCTAGTCTCAAACATTCTTTCCTTCAGTAGCATGCCCAGAGCAACACCCACCACCGTGATGGTGGTGGCCATGGTCATGATGTTTCTTACCCTTGAGCTGCTTCCGCATATCGTAAGCATCTTCACCGTCTGCGTAGTACTTTGCTTCAACATCATGGATCTTGTATTCTAATGTCTCTGTGTACAGCTTGAATGCAGCCCTGTTACTTTTCCTTACATGGAGTGAAACATATTCTGCACCAAACACCTATTTGATATATACTGATCAGTATAATAGTTAGCCAAAGATGCCATTATAACAATGTGTTGCATGCCTGCACTTATACTCGTATGCTATGACAGGAACACTGCATATGGTAAGGAAATGAAAAACATATGCCTACGAAAAATACTACCCGTTCTTAAATGCTTGCTTTGACCTTGAAAATTCAAATTTGATTAGAGTTTTATAGCACTCTACAATTATAAAGCTTTGGTCTTTATATATTACGGAGTAGAACTTTTACGTTTTAAATAAAATGACTTAGCAGAAATGCATAAACAACAACAACATCCAAGCCTTAGTCCCAAAAGATATTGGGGACTTAGCAGAAATGCATAAAATTCAAAAATTGGTTTATAGAGTTTGAACAATTTTTAACTTCCTCTCTATTTTCCTTCTTGTTTTCTTTTCCAAGCATTTTCTGGGTTCCAAAAGGACCCTTTTACTACAGGTGCACTTTTTTGACAGATTTTACAGGTGCGAATAAACGCATGAAGCACTGCAAATATATGGAAAGGGTGCACCTCCTTTTCAGAAAACTCCACAGAAACTCTTTAGAAACTTCCCAAACACTTGTTTTTCTATTAAAAAGTTGTGTTTTCTGCTTCACGTTTCCCCAAGTTTGCAAACTTTTCATGGCATCGTGCAACATAGCAGTAAACCTTTACACCTTATCCCTGATATGAATAACTGGCTCAATTAATGCAACAGGGTTTTACCCAAATCCTACCCGATCCCTCCATCACTAATACTTATATCTGCCCATAGTTTTTACTAACATAGTGGCATCCAATCCATCAATCTGTTTAAAGTTTAAACATATAATATTATTGGTATCAGCCAAAAACTGCACTGGCTCACTCACCGAATACAAAGACAGTGATACTCTGCAAGCTTAAACTTGAATTCGGTTGAGGCCAAAGCATTGTATGCCCCTATATTTTTTTCCAGTACTACGACTCATACCTTCATACTGCCTAGGTTTTCTTATTTGAAGCATAAGCCTTGTAATTGAGATGGTTGGTGGTAAACTATAGAGATAAGGAAATACAATATGTTTAATAAATAGAAAGAAACAAAAACACAGTAAGCGTTTCAAAGCAAGCTCTTCAAGAGTCGTGAAAGAACCATCCAGCATGATGTTCTTGCACCTCTGCAAAGTTGATAAATTTTTAGAAACATTTCTTTCCCTCCCGAAACGATGGCCTAATTTGATTTGTAACCCACTATAACCAATAGTACAGAACTTAAAAGTATCACCATCTAGCCACCAGTTACAGTGTAACAGAATAGAGATAGACAAATTGCACCCCTACCCGCCGGACTCATGGCACCTATCAGGTTTCGAGCCAAATTTTGGTTTTATTCTTACCAAGAGGCTTTAAGGTAGAGCCATTTTGTAGACAGTGATATGGGCTAGTATAATGCCAGTGACTAAAATAATATGGGTTTAGGCAAGAGCAGATGAAATAAAGTTTTCTTCACTCAAAACACAATATGTTCATGTGGTTAAGGGCAAACATAACAATGTCCTTTTGCCCTTTTGTTAAGGGTAAACTTTGGTTGAATCGATGAATATAGCAAAAGACATTAGGATCCTGAAGTTAAGAGTGACTGAAATAGCAAAAACGATTGAATGAGATAAATTGCTCAATTATCTAGCAAAATTCATAAATGAAAGGAAATTACAATGAAAAAGATGAATATGAAGGTGCTCCTACCTGTTTTCTCTATTGCTGCAAAATGGTAAACTAAGGACTATTTTTTCATTATGCTTCAACAATGCATCTAATTAAATTAGTGGGAAATATGATAAAGAAGACAAATAAGTGGAATAGAGATAGCTACTAAATATGCACATAATAAACTTGTGAACCTATCAAACCACATCTTATATAGCCCATACAAAAGAATTTAAAGGTATAAACAATATAGAAGGATCACATAATCAGCAGTACACTTAATATGCACACCTAGCTAATCTGAATTGGAGATTCAACTGAATGTTTTCCACTGAATTAACTTAGAGGTTTAAAAATTTCCTCTCACGTATATAGAATGTGGACCTTGTTTAGGTTTTCCTGTGGAAGTATCAGTCTTAATTGTTAAATGGGAAAAAAACAGTTAACTTTTTATACTATACTACCGAATTCCTAACAATAAACATAAGTTCAGTCGATCAACGCCCCCCCCCCCCCCCCCCCCTCCCCAACAATTCCTGAGTGGTTTCAACTTTTAACATTTGAGTTCGTTTTCTCCTGAACTACTTAAACCAGAACCATTCAACCAAAATAGATTACAATGTAAGTTTCCTGAGAAATGAAAAGGACCTGTTCCATGGCATTCTGAGCAGCGGTCATGAGCTTGGTGGCAATGCCGAGTTTGCGATGGGAACGAAGGACCGCGAGTGATGTGATATGCCCATGGCACTCGGAGGTCTCCTCTTCCATCTTAGACAGCACGTAGCCGACGATTTTTCCGTTGTAATCCTCCGCCACGTAGAGCAGCTGTGGCCAGGAGAGTATGTGGTAGAAGTAATACTTCATCTGGTAGTTCTCCGGCAAGCACAGGAGGTTACACTCTTGCATTGCCAGCAAGTCATCGACCGTAGCCTTACGTATGCACACCATCGTCAACCTTCTTCTTCCTGCCTGTTAGGGTTTGAGCAGTGGAAATGTGTGCATCAATTTCTGCTCTCCAGTGGAATGCGAAATGACGGATGCCATGGTAGTCGAACAAACCCCGCTAGTTTGGGCTTTTTCACGGCGGGCTCTTCTAGATAAGATCCAGCAATTATAACCCAGCCCAAAATGAAGTAACGTGGTTAAAAAGTATAGAACTCTAAAGTCCAAAGTTGGTGGGTGGGTGCTTGGTGGGCCGGCTCAACTTTGGAATGTCGGAAAGGCGTGTGGAAATGACAAAGTAAGCATCAATTCAACAAAAGACAATTGGTTGGTTGAGTTTTGGTTAATTTCTTGTTAAGAAATGCAAAATTAACTATCAAATAGATTAATTTAAGACGGTTTCAATTTAAATATTTTAGATAAAACTTCCCACAAGCATCATTTTCTAAAAATAGAACCTAACGTTTAAAATTTCATAAATAAAATTTATTATTTGTAATTGAATAAAAAATCCTTTATGCCGTTTGGAGCACTGTCGCCGCCAATCAACGGAAACTGCTACCAGGCGTCGGATCACCGCAACTAGAGTGCTACCCCCTTTGCCGGATAGTCCCTTCCAACGGGCTGTCATGATGGTAATTTCTATACTTGCATTCTATAACGCTTAAAGAGGAATTGATCAAAATAAGATCAAAATATAGCATTCTTTCAAAAAACGGATCATATATTTTATTTTTCTGAATAGGATTAATCATTACTTCTATACCTCTAATTTAATTAATTAATATAATTGAATGCTTCCTAGTTCAGATGCATAATCAAAGTCAGTTTGGTGATGGTAACGGCAGTCGGCGGCAGACAGTCCTTAAGAAGTTTGATCTAATTAACGTATTCCAACCCTATGATATTATTTGATCAAATTAAGCATCACAAATAAAACGTTTTGTCTGTAGCATTTTAAATCAATAGGTCCTATGATTTAAAAACAATATGTGGTACAAAGTAAACAAACACCAAATGACCTAATTTTGAAACTGCGGACTGGACCTAGCGATGTGTCTAGGGTTGAGGGGGTTGTGAAGGTTTCGAATCCCGTTCGTAGGCGGATTTTGGCCGTTGGAAATTAGCGGCCCGTTTTGCTGGTGAGCGATTGAGGCAAGGGGTTGAAGGAGCGCTTGACGGGTTGATTTTGTTGTCGACGTTTTGGCTAGAGGAGAGGGTGGCCAAGTCTTGTTGGCGTGAAAGAAGAGTGCAGCGACGAGGAGACTTTGCATTTTCGCTAAGGTTGTAGCAGACACTGGTCAATTAGTTGGTGAGAAAGCAGTTTGTAGCAGGGGAGCGATTGAGAGAGAGGGTGGAAGGGACATCGGCAGTTGATCTCGTTTGTCAGCGGTCGATTGCAAGAGCGCCAAGTCTTGTTGGTGGAAAGTAGACCGCAGTGGTTTGTGATTCGTGAGGATGGAGGCAAGCTTAGAGAATACTTCTGGTAGATTGGCTCGAGAGTGGCGTTTCTTCGGTTTCGAATGTGAAGACATAGCAAAGAACGTGATGCACATGGAACAAGGTGAGGAAGAAGATGAAATATCGTCAATAAGCCCTCCTCCTGAACCGCCACCATGGACGGACTGTGTGGCTAGGGATTGGATGATAGCGTTTCAGGATTGGAGTTGGCAGCAAACAATTTATTGCTCTATTTTTCTTTCTAGTTTTGTTTATGCTTCTTTAGACCTTTTAATTTATTTTTGGTTTGCTTGTGTTTGTGGTTTTGTTGAGGTGCTTATGATTGTTATTTGTCTTGAAGCTCTTGTATGTTCAGCAAAAAGTTTCACTCAATTTTGGATGAACATTTGGCTATTTTGAGTTTGTTGGAGTGGTAAAGAGTATGTTGAGATCTTAAGGGTCGAGATGAACTTTATGATGCCCACTTGGTAGTCAGCGATATGATTCGCGCTGCTTCTTTGAAGGTGGCTGTCTCAGAGTTTGATCGAAGGGCTTTTTTTAAGTTTAGATGGAGTCTGATAGAAGATAGTTGACGGATTTTTAGTTTTTGGCTAATTGGAACTGCAAACCATTTATTATTTAATATTGTTTGGCGTTTTCATTTCAAAACAAAAAAGTAAACAATTAAGTGTCGACAGATTGGGAAGAGGCATTATTTTGAATACCAAACCCTTCAGATCTATGTTGGTAGTGCGATCAGGATGAGCGGGTAATTGGGAAGAGGAGAGCCGCTTTGTTACCGTCCCTCTCCGACAATGTTGAAGGTAACATCGCTCTCGAAGTTCTTAGTAGTAGTATGAGTGTATGACCCAACATGACCAGTCTTCTTTTGTTGTTGTGTTGTTCTGTTCTACAATGGGGGTTTTTCAACTTTGATGCTCCGTTCTGTTTTGTCTCCTTCTATGTGGGAGTTGCTTTGCTGTTCCGGTCAATTTCGCCTGTTCGTATTTCTGTCCACTTTCTTTTCGATTGTGTAGAGAATGGAAGAGACATTAAGGGTGTATTTGTCTCAATCTGGTTCTACGATTTTTCAAAATGAAGTAAGAAAAAGAATCTAGTGTTCACCAATATTGTAGTAGTCTGTCCTCCTCTAGAACCACCTCTATTTGTCTCAATCTTTTTTGGCATTATTTGAGTACTGATGGAGTATATGGGTCCGAGCCCCCAGACCCACATACTCAGAAGAACAGAAAGCACAAGACACTGAGTGGTGCCCTCGTCGGCCAAGGGACCCCCGTCGGCCGAAAAGGTGCCAACTCAGAATATGGTCCTGAATCCAAGGAACCCGGGTGCCCTCGTCGGCCGCGCCCTCGTCGGCCGTGCCCTCGTCGGCCACGAAGACCTCACAGAACCGGATTTTACACTTACTCATTTGTACAGCCCATTAGTGGCTTTGTATTCGGCCCAGTAGCGGTCCAGTTGTAAATGGGCCTCCCAAGCCCAAGGCTTGGGAGCCCAGGCCGTATTTTCTCTATAAATACTCCCTTTGGGAGAAGTTATATGGGTTACAAATTCATTCTATTGAAACATATTACTTCACTTCTCTCTCTAGCTCTCACTTCTCTCTAGATATACTCTATCATTTCGTGCTCTCGTTGAGAGCTAGAACAATCAAGTTAGCACCCTTCGTCGCTACCAAGCACAGCTAACCACTGATCATGGGGAGAACTAGATCAAACCGCAACCTCGTCAGCAAGGCCATCTCTGAGGACCAAGAGGCCAAGGAGCACGAGGAGGATGCCACGGCCGACCAGGTCGGCGGAGGGGACGTCTTCCAGGAGGCCTTCAACCTCACGACGGACCTCCGCAACCAACTCAACGGTGGAGCCCCTGATGCCCGCATCGGCTTGGACAAGAAACGAGCTGAGAAGACGGACCACGCCCCGGCCCAGCCTATGGCCGCGGCCTCTCCGTCCGTGGATCCACAGGTCCAGGACGCGCTGTCGGTCATCATCGCCAGCCTGGCCCAGAACCCCACCGTCCTCAACGCACTCTTGCCAAGGACCGGGGGGAACGTCACTCCACCTCCTCAGCCCCAACCGTTGGCCGTCCAGATAGGCAACGATGAGGGGGTGATGGCCCAGGACACGGCGTCGTCCCACTCCCACCCCGCTTCCCCTCTTCGGCCTGGGCAGACCCCAGCGCGTGGAAAAGCCTCTGCCTTCAATAGACTAGGTGACACGCGCTGTCGTCCGGTTTCGGAGAGGATGGCAGGACGGATTGGTGAGCGTCGGCCTGGCTCGCCGAGGGAAAGCTTGGGGTCTGTGTCCCGGACAGCGGACCAGCCCCGCCCGGACAAGGGCAAGGGGAAGTTGCACGAGGACGACGTGCGCCACCAGAGCAATGCGGCTCACGACGAGCGCATGAGGAACCAGCCGGGCGCCGCTGCGGCCGCTAGGGACCCCCGGGACGAGGTCATCGCCCAGCTGGAAAGGAGTCTGGCTCAGATGGAGGCCAAGCAGTCGGCCAACATCCCTACGGCCGGCGCCTCCAACGACCCCGGCCTCAATGCGCTCATGAACAAAGTCAGCGCCCTGGAGAGGGAGTTGGCCGAGGGGCGAGGTGACCCCATCATCCAGGTCAGGACCAGGACCCCTTTCACCAACAGGGTCCTCTCGGCCCCCATCCCGGAGAAGTACAGGGGAAACGCCATCAAGTCCTACGACGGCCGATCAGATCCCCAGGAACACTTCAGCCGTTATCAGAACAACATGCTGATGGTGAACGCGTCAGACGAATACCTCTGCCGTTGGTTCCTCTCTACTCTCGAGGGGCCGACGTACGAGTGGTTCAACGCGCTTACCGAAGGGAGCATCGACTCATGGCAGGATCTCGCCCAACGCTTCCTCACCCACTTTGCCGGGAGGAAGCGTGCGAAGAAGTATTTCACCCACCTCCTCTCCGTCAAGCAACAGCATGATGAGTCCCTCCGGTCATTCATTGATCGGTGGACGAGGGAGACCGAAGAAGTCGAGGGGGCCGATGAGCGCACCCTCCTCGCCCTATACCAGGGAGCCCTCCGCAGCTCCCCGTACGCTAGGAGCCTCATCACCGACCCTCCGAGGTCGTACGCCAAGGCGCTCCAGCGCGGAGGCTTGTACGCCGATGCCGACGAGCTCCACAATCACAAGAAAGAGGGTGGCCATCCCTCCAAGAAGACAAATCCTTCGCCGGCCCCAGGTCCGTCCCCGGCCGGCCAGGGTGCCCAGGGCCGTCACGGCTCTGGTGGACAGTGTAAGAAAGATCGCCACTGGCGGCCGAGGTTGGAACGGCCGGGGGTTGCCCTCACTCACTCGGTCGGCATCATCCTCGACTACGCCGAGAAGCACGGCCTCATCGAGCAGGCTCCTCGGCCGGCCGAGGAGGTCCTTGCCATCCAGCAGGGCGGCACCTACTGCCGGTTCCACAAGAACTCGTCGCACAACACCGACGACTGCATCACGCTGAAGAAGGCCATCGAGTGTCTTATTCGTCAGGGGGAACTCTCCCAGTTTGTTAAAGGTGGCCCACGGAAAAATACATGGGTAAACACCGGCAAACAAGGGGGCGAACCCTCTGCGAAGAAGCGGGAGATTGGTAGGCTTAGCGATGACAAGGACTTCGAAGAGCCCCCGCCAAAGAA